TCTTCTCGACCCTCTCCTCCTCCTCTACGACATCCACGGGTCCCCGAGAACCTGTCCAGACGCTCCGACTCCTCCCTTTGATGAACCATAAAAGCGAGGGCCTGAAAAATATTCATTCTGCCGGATTTGTTAGAGGACGGAGTCATTCCGTCATGAAAGATAGTGGAAAACTGGGTCGATCCAAATGTAGCGATTGTGTAGTCTGGACAATCCAAGTCATCGTCATCCATGCAAGCGTCATCCTCCATCCAATCAAAATCATCGTCATCCATGCTGCTGAGTCCTCAAATGGTCGGATCGTTCTGTCACGTTACAGTTACAAAAAGTGGAGAGGAGGACTCAAGTGCAGCAACGGATGATTTATTAACAAAAGAAAACAAAACACAAAGCATAAACCCACAAGGGGGAAAACACAATAAATGAGACACTAAACAAAACGGAAACTTGAAGAACAAACACTGACTCTGAACACGAAGACCATCACACGGAAACTGGGAAAACATATGACAACGATCCGACAAAGACTGCAAACAAGAGGAGACTTAAAAAGGGAACAAATCAAGAGGGAACAGGTGGAAGAACTCAAACACTAATCAGGTAACAAGGGGGAGGGATCAAACAATAACGAGAGCACATGGCCCAAAATAACAAAGACACCCAAGTGCAATACAAGACAGGACAGACACGTGACACGTGCACTTTCCCTGGCCTCGTGGCTGCAACTTGCGCTCTCTTCATCTACTCTAACATAAAAAGGGAACAGAAAGGTTGTATTTCTTTGTGCGTATAGAACAACAGAAACAACAAAGGTGAAAATGCACTACGCTATACCTCCTCAGATTGGGTTGCGCTGGAGGCCCGGCGCTGACATATTTCGCGGAGGATTTCACTGCTGCCAACACTCTCGGCTTTCCCATTATGAATTTGTGGAATTCTCCACAGCTCATTTGTAAATTCATTTTTACTTTAATTTCGCTGCGGACCAGGTTAATTGAACATATGTTTCTAACATCAGTCCAGGCACCTTTCATGATGGAAAACACCCGCTCTGAGTAAGCATTGCTCACGGGAATGCTCAGGACGAAGGACAGCAGCTTAGAATACTGTGGGAATGCAGACCTGCTCTTTAGCTCTTGTGCCCAAAGCTCACCTACAGGGTGGCTGTGTGTCGCCAGTTTTGGCAAGACATCCTGCAGAGCACAATTCTTGTTATAGAGCTCATCCATGTCAAGATCCTCATCCATTTGAAGGGCGGATACAACTGTGGTCAATTGCTGGTAGCTTATGTCTTGCCTTTCCTTAAGGTTGAAACACTGGAGGTTGAACAGGTGCCCAGTTTCGGAGAAGTTGAACCATTTCTCCAGGCATTGCTCATAAAAGCTGATAAATTCTTCACGGAGCCTGTCAACCCTAAAAGTAACAGAGGACGCGAAGACACGGTCAACTTTTGCTCCGAAGAAAGCATCTTTTTTGCGCTGCTGGAGTTTGGTTCGAAGGCCGTTCATCAGCGCGTAGACTTCAACTGAGGTGAGATTGTCACTCTCAAGACTCAGCACAGCACCAGAGAAAATCTTTAGAACATTTTGCAAGAAGAAGAGAGTGACCTGCAGCTCGCTGGATTCATCTTCCTCTCCATGCTCGTTACCCCGGAGAGCATCCCAGATGACACGGGGGCACTCTTCGCCTCCCAGCGACAAGAAGTAGCTCTGCACAGCTGGCCAGGTGTTGATTACTCTGTCAATTGCAGGGAGCAGGCTCAACCAGCGTGTCGGGAGGTGGCGCAACAAGGTAAGGTAGTCCATGTCAGCAAATTCAAACATTTCTTTGAGGGTTGCGACTCTCTTGGCAGAACAGCTAAAATGATTAAATGATTTAATCACCATAGACTCTACATCTGTTTTCAGCACATTGCTGGCACGTTTTACTGCATTATGTATTATGTGAGCTGGGCAGTTTGCTGGCAGGATCTTGCTGTTGTGTTGTTTTAGATTTTGGTAAATGGAGTGCTTTCTGCCGTAATTCACTGCCGCATTGTCAGCTGAGAAGGCCGATACGTTATGGATGCTGAGTTTTTGTTCTTCTAGCTTCTGCAGTAAGGTGTCTGTGACAGCATCTGCGCTCTCGGCTGCCTGTTCAAAGAAATCCAGAACCCTGTTTTGGATACCTTGCTCGGGGGTCCAGAATCTTACTGAGATGGGGAATGTTTTCACATTGCCTTTATTAGAGGCATCAGTTGCAATAGAAAAATACATGTCCTTTGACTCAAGGCTCTGGGAGAAGTCAGACGCGAGCGGTGCCAGTATGGTTGTGACAAGTGCTTCTGCTTTTGTGCGACCGCAGCAGATGTGTTTAGCTATAGCCGAGTCAGAGTACAGTTTTGGCGTTAACTTTATAGCACAGTCAAGTGATCTGTATGACTGTTGGTGGGTCACACAGTGGAACACAGAGGTCAGCTCAGCAGCAGCTATTTTATTATACATAGAATAATCATCCCGTCTAAAGAAGGATGAGACCAAAGTGTTGGTCTGTACAGTTGTGCTGTTAGTTATATGTAGTTTGCTGCTAGCATGCAGCCTGACGTCACACTCCCCCCCATGCGAAATACCAAACTCCTTCCTACATACATTGCAAAACGCTTTGTTAGCATCACGTAAAACTGCAGTAATCCAGGGGTATTTCCCTACCCAGTCCTCCCGATACCTGCAGAGACGTTTTTGCTTTTTAGCTACGTGTTCATCGGGTCCCGGGACACCAGCCTGAGCCTCCATTTCAAGAATGAATGAATGAATGAAATTCGCGCCTTGCCGCCTACGTAGCCTACTGCAGCTCTCTACATTCTTTTACTGTCTATGGTTGCAATGAGCAGCCGACAGGAGCTGGCTGCAGGACGACCATGAGCAGTTTTTAATATTCTATCAGACTATAACTACTCGAGAGTCTGCTCTTGAGACTTTGTTCTAATTTTCGGGACAATTAGGGCAGGATTCGGGATTCGGGACAACTGCTTGGATTTCGGGACTGTCCCGAATTTTTCGGGACGTCTGGTCACCCTATCTGCGACAGACACAACTTCAGAACGATTACTCTGAGAGTTTGTCTGTACAGTAGCGTTTTCGTCAATTTTTTCAGGGCAAGCGCGTATCAGATGGCCAATTTTGCCACAGCCAAAGCATTTCATTATACTTTCAGACGTTGCATAAACTGTATAGTTAAAGTCCTCAACTTTAACATTAAAGGACAGGTTCAGCTCGTCAGCATTATTTTTCAGAATCATGTAGACCTGTCTCCGAAAAGATACGACGTGTTTCAGCAAGGGTGATTTACAGCTAAGAGCAATTTTCCTAATGGGAGAAACTATCTTACCAAAGGAAGACAATTCTTTAGCAATACTTGCATCAGAAACAAAAGGAGGAACATTTGACACAATAATCTTTCTAGATGGGCTACTAAGAGACAGTACATGTGTAAGCATCATCAATTACGACTCCCGTTTGAACAACCTCGTTGGCTTTTTCGATCGCGTTTAAAAATAAAACAACCGCGTTGTTCATTTTAGATGCAGAAACAATAGAGTTGTAACCAACTACATTACCAACCTCTAAAGCACATTCCTCTACACTAAATTTGCACAAAATCTTAATCCCATGACGCCGAGTTAGACCATCAGTATCCTACTCGTAACACCTGAAGCAGCCATGCTTCCCGGCAAAAATAAAGACGCCGGGAGGCGGGAGCAGACTCCCACAACTTTCTCTAAAGAAAACTACTCCCCTACACAAAATAACACAAAAAAAACATAAGCAAACAAACAAAACACAAAAAAGTTAGAAAACACATTCAGGCGTCACTCACCGCACGCTCTACTCACTCGCTCCGCAAACGCTCGCACATAGAGAGAGAGAGAGAGAGAGAGAGAGAGAGAGAGAGAGAGAGAGAGAGAGAGAGAGAGAGAGAGAGAGAGAGAGAGAGAGAGAGAGAGAGAGAGAGAGAGAGAGAGAGAGAGAGAGATTCATTGTCATTATAGTATACCCTGATTCGATAACATTGTTTGTTTGGTCGAACATGTGTTTTATGCATATTCAAATTAGTATACATATTTATTTTTTATTATATAGCCTATTGTAGGACAGTGAAAATGGACTATAGTACAGAATTGCATCAAAACATGATGCATGGTCTCCTTGCACAAACACCACAGCTCTAATGGCAACCACTTTAAGAAAACAATATTATTGTTTTGTGATACGTAAAGGATAACAGTCAGCTTCAGTTACCCAGATTAGCAGACTAATACAAAGCATTGCTAAACTACGTTGAATGCTATATCTGACCACTGAATGCCAACACTAAACAATCAGAATGAAGAATGTAATGTTCTTTGAGAATGTAGCATAAGGAATGTTTTTATGAGAGGACAAAGGCCTACTCATAAAAATTGTGAACACTTTTCATATCTAAACAGAGAATATAGCAGTCAGTGCAGGGACATTGTTTCTTGTCTTTCTCTGCCATCTAGTGGGAAAGCAAGAGTATTCATTTCCGTGATTTTTCAGTAAAATATGCAATGAATTGCATTTTATTTTTAGTACATTTTAAATGTATTGTTTTGTGCTCCATTCTGAATCCACAGACAATAACTTGCAAAAGATTACTGTATGAGAAGTACTTTTAATGTGTTTGTTTTTGCTGTGTTTAACTCATTTTAAAATCACAGTATTGCTAACTATTTTCTAAAGACAGTGGGTCTTACCTCTTTTCACAAAATTATGAAACACTCATTATTTTGATTTCCTTTAGTCTTCTGTAAATGACTGAATAAAAAATCTAGATATGTGATATTTATAAATGGCAATGGACTTGAATCAAGGGAATATGAAAAAGATCATTTATCCTTGGGAAACATTGCCATCCTCATCTGCTGGACATCAAATTAATTCTAACATAGGGCTGAAATCAAAGAAAACTAAACATTTTATACAATAGGATAAATAAAACTCTTATTAATCACTGGCCTCATTTTTAATGATCTGTTGTGCCACTTTTGACTTTCCCAGAAGCTTGACTATCTTGTCTCGTAGTTCGTCAGTCTTTAAGCTGTAGATGATTGGGTTCAGCATTGGGGGGAGGGTAACAGAAACAGTCAGAATTGCTGTGAAAAGATCCACATTCTGAATTAAACGCAGGTTCCCTAGTACATATGCCAGCATGACTGGCATGTAATAGAGCAGGACCAGCAGTAGGTGAGTGAAACAGGTGTGAAAGGCCTTCCAGCGCTGTGTTGTAGATGCAATCCGCATCACAGCAACTACTACAATCACATAGGTGAAAATAATAAAAATCAAGGGGCCTAGCAAAACGGTCAATGACTTAGCTGTACCCAGCTGACGATTGTAAGAGGTGTCTGCACAAGCCAAGTTGTATACTGGACTGTGTTCACAACAGCAGCTCTGTACCTCTCTGGAGGCACAATAAGGAAGCCTGGCAGCGAGGCTGATTTGGAAAATCTCCAGCAGAATAACTAGAGACCAAATCCCTCCTATTATAAGCAGCATCCTCAGGTTGGTGTTTATGGTAGAGTAAGGCAGGGGCCAGCAGATTGCAATCAGTCGGTCATATGCCAAAAGAGCAAGAGAGAAAGATTCCATGTCACCAAAAAAATGCATGAAGAACATTTGGGAGAAACATGCTCCAAATGAAACATGATTTTGATTGAACACAAAAACAGGCACCATTTGAGGAATTATAACACTATTCATTGAAATGTCAACAATAGCTAGATTACACACAGCAAGATACTTGGGATTCTGTAAACTGGAGTTCATTAGGACGACAATCAGAAGAACAAGATTTCCCAGCAAGGTGATGATGTAGATAATCGCCAAGGCCAAAATTAGATAGTTTGTGTTCGCCAAAGAGCGGAAGGCAGTTAGATAAAATCCCTTATTGAAAGAATCAGTTCCATTGCTGAAAGCAAATGAAAAATTCATTTGAACTCTTTCAAATCTGAAAAACAAAAAGTTAAAATGTTTTCAGCCCTAAAAAATTCGGTTTCAAATATAACATTTTATGAAAAGCCACTTTGAAAAGTCAATTAAATTTTTTGTCTTTCACTAGACACTCCCCTGTGAAGGCCTCCTTCCATTCCATTTACCTCTGTGATAAAACGTTATCAAAATGATTCCAGTTCGCATGGATCTGCGGAAACAACTAAAAATTCTGTATTATTCAGGCCAGACAAGTAATTTAGCGATGTCAATTTGTAAAGAAAGACAACGCGCCTGCGCACATACATATTCAAACGTGCATATCTATAGACTAAACACGTAAAATGGATATGCACGCCGTCACCGTTTTCACAGATTCACGTTTTTGAAGTTTACACGGAGATGATAGCGTTTTAAAAAAAAATCTAAACTTGCACCTTGGAACCTATTTCAAGTTTGCATTCTCATTGTCGTGCAAATGAACGGCCAGAACGCAATACAAGTTTTCTGCTTTCATTTAAAACGGTGTTTTTATTTTCTATTATATTGATTACACATCTTCATACAATCATAAGAAAAGTGATATTGTACTGTAACAGAAAACACACAGACAAAACCTGGCAAATGGAAGTTAAATGAACAAACAAATAAAATACCCACCGATCTCTCTTGAAATCTTGCTTTGAGTTTGGATTCAAATCGGGTTGTGTCAAAGGAAAAGAGATTTTTAAAGGCCTGCTAAAATGATGACCAGGGTCTAATGGGTCTAATTAACCACTGTTGTGCAAACAAAAATATAATTACCTTGTTTGAAGTTTTGTCATTAAACTAAATGTTTCTCTTGTGTATTTAATTAGTGTAATTATGCCCAAATAGATTTTGTTGGTCTTTATACTTTGACCCATAGAGACAAACAAATTAAAAACAAAATATTTTTTCTCTTAGTAACAAAGGAAAGATGTTGTCATCATTCAAGACAATAAAAACATATTATAAAAGCACAGGGCCGTGCAGAGACCTTTGGAGGGGCAGGTGCTCAAAGTATAAAAGGGGCACATGGAACAAGGCATTAAATAGCCGGTGCTCAAAATATCAATACAGTAATATATCGTGACGCATTCCTTGCTGATTCGCGTATCGATAAGGATGATTCTGTAGGCTATTGATATGGCAGCAAATGCTGTGATGCAGTTTTGGAAAAGAAACAGGGCCCGGTTCCCCAAAACGTTCTTATCGCTAAGTAGTTCTTAACCTATTCCTTAACCTCTCTCTTAACCTTATGGCTCGATTCCCGACACGTTCGTACGCTAAGTATATCTTCTGTAAGTCACACTTTCGTAAGGTTGGTCTGGACCATTCGTAAGCTCTCTCTTAGCGTTGTTTGAGCTCAAGACGCTAGTCGCCGCCACTGTGCAGCAGTCTTTAGAAATCAACGCAGCCCAGTACAAGTCAAACTATGGTATATTGACAATGTTGTGTCTCAACAATGATTTTTTATTTTATGGACATTTTAAGACTAATAATAAAATAGGTTCGCAATAGATACAGGCCTATTTATGAAGTTGACTTTATTTGGTATCAGAACTAATATGGTGGTAATTAGCCGAGGCTATTTCGTAATGTCATTAAAGAGTTTAAATTGGCCATCACTTTTGATAGGCTAATTAAAATCTGGCAAACAATTTGGCTCTAAATGGCTAAGATCTATAAATGGGTAAGCATGGTGGTGTCTAGTAACTGACCAACTATGTCACATTTTTTCAAAACTCTACACACAATTCCCAAAACTTCACACACAAAATGCAAAATGCCTCACATCTCCTTCAAAAATGTCATAAACACATGTAAGAATGAAACATTTGCATCAAATGGCAAACATTTATTTTATAATAGTGCATTTTTGGATATACCTTGTAAACATTGTTTTTATTGAGCGTCAGCGTCAGTTCTGGCAGGCCAGGTAGTCAAGCCGCTGCTTATGCTATTTACTATCAACACTGTCCCGTCAGCTGATCTGCTCCAGCTGAGCCGCATTAGCTGGTTAACTCCCCTCGCTGTTCAATGGCCAAAGCTCAAACAAGGCGCCCTATTTAAAGCTCATTCACCTTGCTCATACATGCTTGCTGCTCGCTTCTGCTGCCCGCCACCTCCCCAGCTCCTCCTTATGCATAACGTGGCATTTACTATGTCATGTTGCCTGCTCTGTTCACAGGGGGATATTCTAGCTCTCACAGTCTAAAACTGTGTGAGCGTTCCCTAATGCTGCTGCTGCTGTCCTCTGACTCTCTGCTATTTCATGGTGCTCATGAAAGGTCAGAGGACTCCCTGAACAGAGCCATACCGCCAAATTTCAATTCAGGAACATCAACCTGTTTGCAATCTATTCAAATAATTCTTAATTATTTTGTCTGTGTGTTCTTGACTTTATGGACCTGACAGAACTAAATCTAAAGCTCTTTGGTCATTCTTACACTTATATCTACATTTCAATACAATGTTCTACAGTGAAAGTAATCTTCTGAGAGGGGTAACAAGTACACTGTAATCACCAATGCAATGTAGAAACAGAAAATATTTATTAGGCCAAACATTACTGTTGTATACAGTAGCATACAACAAAACCATAAACATATGTAAACCAAAAGTATATTCTTTAGAATACAGTAAAGAACACAATTGAGTGTGGGGGGTCTCTGTGTTGGCATCCATTGTTCAAACAGGTAATCTGACCTTTGACCTATTATAGGCTTATACTACAGTAAAGCAGTGATTGGTTAGTGATCAGTAAAGCAAGGAGTGTGTGTGTGACCTGGTGAATAAGTGTAGCATTTCGATTGGTTGTGTTTGGAAAAGGAAAGCAAGTAAATTCCTGCTAGATTTTTGTGTTTTAGGTAGAGAATTGTATGTAGTGTTTTGAAAAAGTGTTTTATGCAATTGAAAACTGAGTCAAAGGCTGAGAAATAGCTTATGGTTTTGTAGATTTGGTGTGTAGGTTTGCACTTTGAGTGAGAGGTTTCAGGGCCGGAGTGGGACTTATTTTCAGCCCTGGAGTTTCATGCCTTAGACCGGCCCACTTTAGTTACCGACTGTCTATATTAAAATAATGTAATTAAAACCTCAGTATATAAGTCTGCAATTGTGCACTCTTCTGTACAGCCTTGTAATTCATTGTATTTTTCAAAAATATAATTTTCTATTTAGTGCAAAAGCCGTACACAGGGTTTTATAAATACAGAGGTCCCAAAAGTGATCTTGCCCGGGGGCATATTATTTTTCCACTGTCATTGTCAAATAACTTAGGCTATGTATATCTGTGTTAAATGGGAATCCATTGCAATAAAGTTATTCTCATTCTGGGCACAGTATTGCTTTACCTGCTCTCCTCTCTCATCTCCATCTCTCGTTCTTCTTCTCTCAGTATCTTTACCTGTAAATATCCCCTTCCCGAAGCTGAGCTTTGATTGATACAGTCTTTGCAAACTGATTATTTATGTCGGTCGTTTAAAACTTCTATCGTAAAACAGCTGTTTAGTTTTGCCACTTGCATCTTATCTCGTGAAGCTTCGCGTTGGGATTCGCGCGCGGCTCGCGCTTCTGTGAACATAAATCCTGCTTTGATCGGTCATCTCAAACATTTTGACATATCATAATTTGTTAATTTAATTAATATATTTTACTGATAACTTAAACTATGTTAAAATAAATATTACTGGAATAATTTGAGGAATGTTTCATTTGCATATAACGTGTTGTCTTTCTTAATGCCGTAATGCACCTTCGCGTGAAGTGGAAAATCGATTCCTGAGCAATCGATGCCAGCTAATTCAGCACCTTCACTTGGGACAGCGCCTTTGTAACGTCGAACGTAAGAGGCAGCGTGTTAAGAAGCTTCCTAATGCCGAGTTCAGACTGCACGATTTTCAAAATAATCGGGTCACTGTTGTTTTCACACTGCATGACTATCTGGGGTAACATTCAATTGCTGCTGTGTTCACACTGCACGATGGATCGGCGACAGGAGGTTTCACACTGCATGACTTTACAAAAGAAAGAATCGCCGACAACTTCTGCCTGGTCCGCAAACTACGTTTTACAACCAAACAAACGCGAGAAGTGATAGGAAATAACGGAAGATCACGCGTGCGTGAGACCGGAGTTCTCGCGCGACACTGAATTTGTTATTAAAAATGATAGGCTACAAATTGTCTGTGCACTGATTTGTAGCGAAAATGAAAAAAAATAATAAACAGTTTATGCAGGAAATGGTTGGGAGACGAGGGGAGCAAGGACTGTGTTTTGCAAAGAGAGTTGGGGGTAAATAAATAATTTTGCAAATGTCCTGCTGTTGCTGCTGGTCATGCAAATGTTTGTGCTTTGTTTCTGTTTGATATAATTGTAAATATAGGCCTATCTATTAAAATACTGATATTCTGGTCTATAACTCCTCCTCCTCCCTGTATCTTGCCCTCTCATTGGCTGTCGGTCATCGCCGATGTAGTTTTCAGTCAGAACACATTCACACAGCAGGATTGTGAATCGCCGACAGGTCCAGATATTTAGCATGCCAAATATCTCACGGGCGTCGGCGACTCGTCGGCGATTCTCTCAGATCGCGTCTTTGCTCATTCACACTGCGTAATTGTCACTCGCGTGAACGAGCACCGATTTGCCTGTGATTTCGGGCATTTGTCGGCGATTTCTCAAAACCTGTCGGCGAGCCAAAATCGGGGCTAAAATCGTGCAGTCTGAACTCGGCATAAGGGACACTTAAGCCTAGTTCACACTACATGATTTTAAGCCTGATTTGCAAATCGTTGAGCTCGCCGACAGGTCATGGTGTTATCGCGTGCAAATCGCGGGTGATTAGCGGGCGATGAACGCTCGCCAATCTGTTAGTATGAAAGAGCCAACAACGCATCAAAGACGCTCGCAGACGCCTCGCCGAGCCAAGAAAAATATCTAGCATGCTAGATATCCAGAGCTGTCGCACGACTCAAGCTCACGTGATGTCATGAGCTACAGCCAATCAGAGCAAGGTATGTTCGCGTGTTGTGTTCTTCTTCGTCTTCTTCGCTGGGTATTGGCGCGCGTGCTGTTTCGCGTCATTTCCGGTTCGTTTTATCGCGTGATTTTTCGTGACAAAATGTGGTTTGTAGACAAGATAGAATCATTGGGTGACAGAGTTGTTGTCAACTCGTGTAGTGCGTTTCCTCCTGTTGCGGATCAATCACGTTGTGTCGTGTGGTGTGAACTAGCTCAACAACTTGAACACTCCTGATTTCACAGAGAGCAAGTCATGTAGTGTGAACCGCACAGTTCAGCCCGACGTTTTAAAATCATGTAGTGTGAACTAGGCTTTAGGGGAACACACTTAGGAACTTAAACAACTTTGGTAAGATATATCTTTCGAGTCTTCTTAGCGCGCTAAGAGTGAGCGTTATCGGGGAACCGGGCCCAGAACAGAAAAGACAATTTTAAGTTTAAAAGTTAAAAAAATATTAATAACCTATTAATAATTAGAAATTGAAGTGTCTTAAGTTGCCCCAACCTGATGGCTTTTTCTTCTCTGTTATACAGAATAATTAAGAACAGCCGTTATAGTAAAAACTATAGTAAACGTTGTAGTAAAATCAACGTGGCCCATGTTTCGTAGAGTATAGTTTTATTTAATGTCAGCATTTGTGGCTATTTTGATGGCAAAAACTGAATTACAAAAATACAAGAGTTACATTAATATAATAAAAACAAAAACAAAGCAAACAGAATAAATACAGCAATTTCTTTTTACAGCAAATACAACAGATTTTTTACATTAATGTGATACCTGTTCTGGTAAAATCTTACTAAATTCCTTGAGTGAGTATGCTGCCTTTGCTGTTGTTGTTGTTTCTGCTGCTGATACTGGAGTTGATCTGAGATACTGTAGACATTAAAACAACAAACATATAGGAGATATATTAGCTGATTAAACAATTGTTATGTTACCATGACAAGGTGTAAAGATTGCTGAGAGTGTTTGGAACTGGCTCACTGACCTGCCAAGGCTGACTGCTCCAAGAAAATAAGAGGGATATGCTCACAGAGGCTGCTGCACACCAAGAGCTGCAGGTATAGAAAATAAGATACCAGATTCAAAAAAGTAAAATGATCTGAGAAAAAAAAAACATTAATGGGGGATAGGATGATGGTGGCCATGGCAGGGGTAAGAGTGAGACACAAACATCTATATAGACAGAGGTGTGTGTGTTTGTGTGTCTACAGTACACAATACTGTGATCATGATTTCAAGTTGCATTTTGATTGATTATATCTAATCAAAAATATAAATAAGGAAACTAAACTGTATGTGTGTGTTAATTCTGTTGGCACCTACTAAAAATCACAATGTAGCATTAATCTGATTTATTATTGAGTTTATTAACAGAGATATTATTGAGTTTACAGGCTATAGTGGTCTTTGCTGTTGTAGAAAGAAAATATTTTTGTCATATTTAAAATATTATATTTTAATCCTGTTCTGAATTGTTTTATTTTTATAATGATAATTCAGAGAATGAGAAAATTAGTATAAGCCTTATCAGTATTGTTGTGATAATTATTTTAAGGCACTCTACATTTTTTTAAAATAAATACTGTAATAATAATAATTTAGTCAAATGGCATAAAAAAGACAAGACCCCTCGACGCCTGTGAGTGAAACTTTTCTCTCTCAAACAGCAAGCTAACGTAACGTTACTTCAGGCTACACACAGCAATATATACAACATATCTGCATGCTGTCTTCACATCGTTCTAGTAAAATAATAATAATAAGTAAATAAACATCAAAATCACTTCACTGGGAATGAATCCACTTACCAGCTGCCGCGTTCGTGGTGTTGAAGATATCTTCCGGTAATTAAAAAATGCGCGTGTTGCGGCCATGGTTGCGGCCGTGCGGCGTGAGGAATAGGTCGGATGAGGTCGTCGTCAGGTGAAAGGTCATAATCTGGATCATTTTATTCAATCCTAAATTATTATTCATACATTTTACTAATATTTAGATTTGGCATAGGCAGGCATTCACAAAAGGGCCTTTAATAAAAAAAATTAAAAAAATTAATAAAGAGAGGAATTTTTTCTTTGACAAAATGGCACTTTGGGCACCAACAGGCAAAGGGGCAGGTGCTCATTTGTAAGTTGCAAGACGTTTTCTCCCTCGGGGTAATTTTTGTTTGTAGGCGACCGTTATTTTAGAACATAGCCTATCAGCTTGTTATTTCCATGGCGGCGCATCATGCTTCTCATGTAACACACCGCAGCCACAATAGTGCTGTATAAAGATGTATTGCTTTTATTTCATTTTTCCTTTTTTATTCAAAATATTCAGAAATTTGTTAACTATATCATGAACTTTCAAATGTTTTCATATATATTATTTTTAATATATTCTCAAATATGTGTACGTGAATGTGTTTTGGCATTTAAAAAAACTTATTGAACATGTTGTCAGGGTCCTGCCCTAACAGTCTTCTCTGTCTTGTCTCTGTTCAATGTTTCTTTGTTTGTCTTATGTCTGACCACATGGCTCTGTCTTTGTTTGTGTTGGCCATGTGTCCATGTAGTCCCACCTCCTTGTTTCCCCTTACCACGCCCCCTTGTTTAGTCCTTGTCTAGTCCTTGGCCGTTTCTCAATATGCGTTCATAGCTGTGTCCAAATGTGAAGGCTGCATCCTTCGAAGGCTGTATTTAAAGGCCGGTTGGCCGTATTTGAAGGCCGATTGCGTCACAGCGGCGCGACGAAGGACGTCCCAATTCAAAGGCTGCACCCTCCGAAGGTCGCATTTGAAGGCCGATTGCGTCACCGCGGCGCGATGAAGGCTGTCCCAATTCAATTCTGCATCCTCCGAAGGCCGTATTCGAAGGGCGTTTGTCATTGCGGCGCGACGAAGGCTACCCTGATTTAAAAGCGACGCCAAATGCACCCTTCGTTTCCCCGTGAAAGAGAGGATACATAAATGTATCCTAAGCGGTCTATCCTCCTACCCGATAAGTCATTGCGCTGGTGACGACAGCATTTCTATTTTAAAAAAAGGGCGGCCGAGAGCTCGGTAGTGGACGGCAAATTCACTAAAATGTAAGTATTATGTTTTCATTTACTCAAATAGCTAGAGAAACCAGAGTTAAAAGCCACAAGTTTTTCTTTCTTATTCATCTTAACTCATTCGTCACCATTGGCTTCATTTGTCATGTGGTTTGAGGCAAAACTTGTGCTAATATTAGTTTAATAATTGTTTCAGGGAACAAGGAACAGACAGCTAAATTTATTCAATTGCGGTCTGAAAATGACCATTTCTTTACGGGGCGAAAAACTCCGCCAGCGTAAGACAACAACCTATTTGTATTATAAAAAAATATAAATGGCAATGGGGCACTTTTATGTGTTTTTGTAGTGCTGTCCTGCAAGCTATGTCTACAAAGGTTTTAACCAAATTTGAGTATCCAGAAATATGATTTCTGAAGTATTTTGTATTCATATTTTGTAATGTTAAGGTTGCACTAATGTTAAGATTGCACTCCTGTCTTAATATTTTTCATAAGTGGTTCCCTTTTGTTTTGTTTTAGGAGAATTCTGGAGAAAATGGACCTGCTGGGGAAGGTGACTCCCAGGCAGGACAATATATATATATATATATATAAAGTAAGAAAGTTTGACAGATCTTTGTTTAAGTATTGTGTCGTTGTTGTTGTTGTTGTTGTTGTTAACAGGCATGCTTTATTTGCTCTGCCTTAGGACGGCAAGTGTCCTGGGACAGGTGAGGGAGTGAGTGGGAAACCCACTGCTGAAACTTGGCCCTGGTTTGTACTCATGGATGAGGTGTTGGGACAGAGCACTCCACCAACCGCACTGTCCTAATCACCTCCATCCCTGAGGACAGACCAGGGCCGAGTTCAGCAGTGTGCGACCAAGAAGAGGACGAGCCAGCAGCACCAGCAGGAGCACCAGCACCAGCATCAGCTCCAGCACCAGCATCAGCACCAGCACCAGCACCACAAAGATGTCGAGACAGAGAGGACGAGTTTTTGGACATGATTAGAGAAGACATGGGACTGCAGAGGCGAGGAGAGTAGGAAGAGGATGGACAGGCTGTTTTCTCTTATTGAAAGAATGATTGAGAATTTATTTATTTACATATATTCTTGTTTAACTTTTTTTCACTTATATTTTTTTAAAAGGAAAAAAAATAATTTCTGCACATTATTTCTTTATTATTCATTATTTCATTATTTTATGCAACTTTAAATGTGTAAATAAAAGAGAATTAATGGCTCTGGACATTGTTTATTTTTGTAATGGTCTCTGAGTGTTTGCAAGGTCGATACATTTAAACTATATACTTTTGTGTAGTTTAATGTAAAACAATGCGTAGTGTTGCTGTCCTGTGAGGGAAAAAAGTAGGCTACTTCACATTTGTACATGAATACTTAACGAAGTATGTAGCCTAGTTCCTTACATTCTACCACTCATTATTTTGAAAATTAAAGTAACAAAATATAGGTCTATTGTCACAATATTAACAAATTGTTGCTAACTACACTACAGCTGCGTCCCATATCAAAGTGCGCATCTGAAGCGCTCGGACCGGTCTAGCCTACGGATTGATCTTGTCGCCTAGCAACTGTGACTGACAGGCTGCCGATGACGAGCGGGAGTAACGTTTGCACTGGACTTTTTTATATTCAACTGGTTTTAAATATTCAAATAGGGTTGAAAATCTGTGTAAATATATTCACCATGGTCTATTTCTGTACATAATAAAAAGAATACACTATAGCCTACAAAATCGCATCAAGGTAGCCTGCGATATAAGTGAACATTTGAACACACTCACCTAAAGGATTATTAGGAACACCTGTTCAATTTCTTAATGCATATAATTTCTTAATGCAATTATCTAATCAACCAATCACATGGCAGTTGCTTCAATGCATTTAGGGTGTGGTCCTGGTCAGTTTTAATGATCAATATTATAATGTTCTTTATGTATCATATTTTTAAAATGAAAACAAATAGAGTCAGGGTTGTGTTTTATATTTTGTGTTGTTATAAATATATGCAGTGAAGATAATCAATTACGTTGCCTGAACCACATTTGTGTGGCCATTAATATGTTTAAGATTTTTTTTAATGAAAATGAAAAGGCAGAGGCAGAGTGGTGTTTTATAACATATTTTGTTTTATTGTAGCCTAAATATACATAAAGAGATAACCTGAGTAGCCAGAGCGAGCTGAGTGACGCTATCAAGAACGCCGCAGTTCCAGAATTATCGGACTTGCGTCCGACTCCTCCCGTCCTCGGGAGTTTGTTCTCCTGAGTCGAACTTGTCAAGTCCGAACTACCAAGGACTCAAGTCCGAAGTTTGCGTACTTGGTATTGAGAAACGGCCCTTGTTTGCCTAATTGTGTTCACCTGATCATCATGGCCCTCATTTATCAAAAGTGCGTACACCAAATTTCCAGCGTACACCTGGCGTACACCCAAAACCACGGTGACTTTGAGATTTATCAATATGAACGTTGGCGTACGGCACGCTCAAATCCTACGCCAGCTCAGGAGGTGGTGTACGCACGTTTTGAGTTAGTGCGGAAATGCGCAGAAAAACAATTCCTAACACCACAAAACGCACTGACAAACTAACTGATCAACTGCTCAAACTGACATAACTAAAAGATATGATATATTGATATATGACCAACAACAACAGTAATTATAAACTTCAGTGTTTATTTTTGTGCAACATGGACTTCAATGTTTAATTTGTGTGACTTTACCAAAGCATTTGATTTATAAGCATATGTATTCCTTCAGTTGCGAGCCTGTGCGCTTTACCCTGACGTTTCATGGTTAGGCCCGGCAGGTGCGCACGGACTGGGTTCGGTAACGAAAGGCTTTCAATGACCAAAAAATAATTCAGACTGACAAAATAATAAAAAAAACATTCTTCTTCTTTTAAATAATAATAATAATACAAATAATAATAATGACATTCTTCTTCTAAATAACAATAAGCGTCATTAATAATACAAAGCATACTAATAATACTAAGAATAATATTACAAATTGTCATGCAATTATTAATGTGAATGAATGGTACTCCACATCACATCATCATCATCACTATTGTACACCCCATACATGTAACG